TGTTAAACTTATATTAAAGTTTTTCTTCATTACCCATTTAAGCCGTCTCCAGCCATTAATAGTGTAGTGATGTTTTGAAACGCTTATTTCAAACGTCTCAGTAGATGAAACAATGTAAATATTATATCAAATCCGTGCGTACTGGACATGCAATATTAATTTAAAGTTAAAAAAATACCTTAATACTTCTATCATACTTATTATAATTCATATGGAGTTTAACAATGAGTTAACTATGTTTGATTAAATAAATATTATAGATTTTTCTTGATACCTTGTGAACCATATGCCACAGTGAAGGGACTTCAAAATGTACTTCAAAAAAGTCATGGCTAGAATCTCTTAGAGTAAGAAATAAACACAGTGTATTAATAAGTTGACAAGCCTCAAGTCTATACAATGTGTGTCATTAGAGAGTGAATTATATATGTGACGTTGGAAACGTTTTATTCTTATTAAGTATCTCTGTCATTTTTCCGCTTTTTTTCATCAGATGAAACTAGTTAATTACCCACTTACCTACAGTTATGTATCATATTACTGTTAACATTCACATTTACTTATATTGTTAGGTCATTGTGGTTATCCTTCCGTTCGTGAAACATTAACTTATATTGTTAGGTCATTGTGGTTATCCTTCCGTTCTTGAAACATTAACTTATGTTGTTAGGTCATTGTAGTTATCCTTCCGTTCTTGAAACATTAACTTATATTGTTAGGTCATTGTAGTTATCCTTCCATTCTTGAAACATTAACTTACATTGTTAGGCCATTGTAGTTATCCTTCCGTTCTTGAAACATTAACTTACATTGTTAGGTCATTGTGGCTATCCTTCCATTCTTGAAACATTAACTTATATTGTTAGGTCATTGTAGCTATCCTTCCATTCTTGAAACATTAACTTACATTGTTAGGTCATTGTGGTTATCCTTCCATTCTTGAAACATTAACTTATATTGTTAGTTCATTGTAGTTATCCTTCCATTCTTGAAACATTTACTTACATTGTTAGGTCATTGTAGTTATCCTTCCATTCTTGAAATTTTCGTTTGGCGATTTTTACGCATTGCGGGTGCCCATGTTTACAAGTCCACCCCAGGCTGTTGATTCGATTGTACCTAGTGAGATATAAAGTTATTAACACAGTTGTATATGATTATATTAGATTCATCAAGTTATTAACACAGTTGTATATGCTTATATTAGATTCATCACTTTACGTGCATGCTTTTCAATAACGAACATGAAACACGAATACCGAACTATGAAAATCTGCGCCTTCAAGCTCAACATAAGAGATTATATGATACCTATAAATGCTCTTATTTTAAACTTAGTAACAAGACTCAATTAATGCAACCATTATGCATGTAAAATGTAATATTTATATATGTAAAAGCTGTAGAGAAAGAAGTTACAAGTTTTAACATTTGTGTGTGTGTGTGTGTGTACCAATACTATTTTCTGCAAACGTTACTTTAACTGTAAATACTTTGTTGTTAGATAACTAACTACAGTTTTCAACTGGTTGTTTAATTTTGCGCAAACCTACCCGAGGACTATCTGCGCTAGCGTCCCTAATAAAGAAGTGACATATGAGAAGGAAGGTAGTTAGTCAACACCACCCACCGCCCTTTCTTGGACTACTCTAATAGAATAATAGGATTTAGCACAAAGGATCACATATAAAGTGTAATAGATTTAAAATAACACCAAAACCTCGAGCGCTTTCGAATATTTGACTATTCTTCTTCTCCTGAAGAATAACTAGCTGCCTTCACTTTAGTCTTACACTGCTAAATTAGGGACGGCTAGCGCAGATAGTCCTTCGTGTAGCTTTGCGCGAAATTCAAAAAACAAACTCCTGAAGAAGAATAGTAGGATTGACTGTCACGTTATAATGCCTCACGTCTAATAGGGTGAGCATGTTCGGTGATGGGATTTGAACCCAGTTGTGTCATAACCACCAGCCAAGCCTGGCCTATTGTTGGTTGATGAAGTAAAGTGTACGGTAAATGATGACGATGCAACAAAAGGTTTATGTGTAAAATGGCATCTGTCTCAGTAAACTAACCTATTTCCATTTTAAGCCGCACACTTCAATCAAATTTTCACACTTAACAGTAATAATATAGATATATTCATATGGAAAATTAAAGAGAGGGAACAAACTTTACAGCAATGCCACGGAACTATTCAAAAATATCTCGCCATGCTTTTGATTGAATTATAAGCATCATTTAGATATTCTAATACCACGCAAACTGTGTTGTACACTTACTGGATGAGTATGCTCTCTGTTTCGTCTTCTTCCCAACCCAATTCGTTGTACATGGAGCTTAACTGTCTCAGGACGTACTTCTGTATTAAAAATAAAATGTTTTAGTTAAGTACAACACTTCACTTACTGCAATACTAAATATTTTAGCTGCCAGATGTACATGTCTGATTATGGCAGTATTATGCGCATAACCAAATTAAAAACATATTAATTCCGTCTTATTGCAAGTCACGTACTCTACTACATTATTAGATAGCATTAGTGTCAGGGCCGGGTAAGGTTCGACTAACAAAATAACGACTAATTAGTTTTATCTGTGTTGCAAGTCAGATACTGTACCACATTATTAGCTAACAGTAGGGTTAGGACTGAATGAAACGTGCGTGACATCAAAATGTAAATTTTAGAATATGATTGAATAAAACTTTAGCATCTAATTGTTGTTTTATGACCGACTATATTATTGTATTATTCTTTACCTCCCATTTTCCATAGATGGCACTGCGTGACAACATCATATCAATATACGACAGAGATTCCAAAGCCGCTTCCCATGGTAGATAATTCCGTTCTTTATTAATGTAAAGAGTCGTCATCAAAGCTAAGTCATACGGTAGCAACCCAGCTCTTAATAAAATAAATAAATTTAATTAACAAATAGATCGACAAAACTACAACTAATTAAAAATAATTTATTTTCAATTTGATTAAGTTTTTTGTTTAAATTTATGCACAAAGCTACACAATGGGCTATCTATGCTCTGCCCACCACGGGTATCGAAACCCAGTTTCTAGCGTTGTAAGTCCGCC